GGATGATGTGATAAAAATAGGAGGTAGGAATTGGCTAGGCAGTTAGTGTAAAAAGACCCCAAAGAAAAGTAGGCAGTTTCTTGGCTAAAAGTCAAAATGTCCTTGGGCCTCTTAGCAACATTCTCCCTTCCAAATGCAGAAAATGTCAAAAGGATTTGGGAGCTCTTATCTAATCTTTAAAAGATTTTAGGGTTACCTCTTCAGAAGGGGGAATGTTAGAGTAGCAAAACGCCCCACAAAAAGAAGAAAGTACGTGAAGTTATCAGAAAAAAGTGATGGGGAGATATGAGAGGAGTTGGAGGGGAGGGAGTGGACATGGATTTGATCAAAACACGTTATATGCTTATATGCATGTATGAAACTCTCAATAAATTATTTAAAAAGTATCTAAAGCACAGTTCCTCTAATTTGTAATATTGTTATGAATTCTGAATAAAGTCTTATCAAAATTCTTTAAGAGAGGTCAAGGGAAGGAGAATTTGCCTTTCAAGTTGTGTTCATTGTCACATTGAGGCTTCTGAAAAACTTTCTACATTGCAGTGACCAAATGACTGCTCTGAATACTTCAATGGCAACCACACTGTTCAGGAACGGCTAAGTGTGATGGGGCACACACTCCATGTTAGTCAGTGTTAAGTTTTTTTTAAAATTTATTTATTTTTAGATGCACTTCCAAGATAGCACCCTCCCATAGCTCCCTCCCTCTACTAGAGGCCTTATACTCTGATATCCCTTCTATACTCTGCTGTGTTGTCAGCACCCCCAGCCATTCCCCACTACTTGCCCTGCTGGTGAATCTAGTCAGCGTACCCAAAGGTCTTTGTTTTAGGAGGGTCAGCTGTTCCTCATCTAGCAGTAATCAGTTGTCAATATTCCTTTGGATAAAACTGGAGTCTGCTTTTCATTTTCCCAGTTCTATGCTGGGTTACTATCAGGGAATCCCTTTGGCCACCTGGACCAACTGTATGGCCTTAAACACCCAAAAGGAAAGTATAACCAATAATTAAATAGGCCAACATAG